ACACACACACACATAATGTATAAATCATCCCCCCCCCCCCCAATCCTGAAGAGATGCCGGAAAGAAACTGCTTCACCGTCTCCTTCTGCCGTCATGGAATCTTCAAAGGAAAGGGATGATCCATATACCAAGGGATGATCCATATACCAAGGGATGATCCATATACCAAGGGATGATCCATATACCATGGGATGATCCATATACCAAGGGATGATCCATATACCATGGGATGATCCATATACCATGGGATGATCCATATACCATGGGATGATCCATATACCATGGGATGATCCATATACCATGGGATGATCCATATACCATGGGATGATCCATATACCATGGGATGATCCATATACCATGGGATGATCCATATACCATGGGATGATCCATATACCATGGGATGATCCATATACCATGGGATGATCCATATACCATGGGATGATCCATATACCATGGGATGATCCATATACCATGGGATGATCCATATACCATGGGATGATCCATATACCATGGGATGATCCATATACCATGGGATGATCCATATACCATGGGATGATCCATATACCATGGGATGATCCATATACCATGGGATGATCCATATACCATGGGATGATCCATATAACATGGGATGATCCATATACCAAGGGATGATCCATATACCATGGGGTGATCCATATACCAAGGGATGATCCATATACCAATTGTGTCTCCTTTATGTCCCAGCTGACCCCCCCCCCCCCCCACCCTAACACATACAACGTGCCTTTCAGGATTATGTATAAAAAATGCATCTGGGTCCTTTGCTCAAGGTATTTGATTCACAATGTGTCAAATTTTTATTTAGGTTTTTACAAATGCCATTCAATGTAACCAACATTGTTTATGCTTTGTTTGTTGACAAATGAATTTTTGGGCGTCCAGGAAACTTCTCCACTGTGACTAACCAGCGTGTAACTGCCGCCCCCACCTCCTACACTCCCACTTTTGTTGAGACGTTAAAAATATACCACTTGATATCACTACCACCGGTAACTTGTGTACCTGAACTATTAGCCATGACCTAGTCAGATTTATTTATAATTTACAAGCGAAATACATTTTTTCTGAATAAAATCCTACAGTTCTTTAAAAAAAAATGTTTTTTTTCTATTCCTGAAAAACAGCTGTAACCCTAAAATTTAACGGATAAGGTATTCTAAGAATTTACTGCAATAAAATAGAAAACAGGTTTTTCCAGTATCGTGCTTATGTATTTTCGGATTAAGTTAACATTAACAATATAAGCCAATATTGAACAGAAGTCACAAAACAGGTAAACTCTACTTCATCTTCAATCCACTAGGTTGGTAGGTTTTGACATGACGTTACAATTCAAATCTACGTAAAAAAAAAAAACAACAAAAACAACTTTCTAATTTATATACACCTTCGCAGCGCAGATTTACTACTTGAGTTCATCGGTTATTGAGGTCAACGTAGCAGAAATTTCGCCACGCAGCTAATTATAATTAGTCGGAATTCAGACACGTAATTATCAGCCCATATATGGAACTCACAGATTCGGCAAACCCGTTGCATCTTACTTTTTTATTTCTCCAATCTCCACAGTAAAACATATTACAGCATACAACTAGCCTTTACTAGTTTATTTTATCAAAACCTGAAGTATGTATTCTTGTATAATATTTCTTGTTCTCAATTAGCAAGTTAATTAATAAAAATTCGCTCAACTATCTCATTTATAGCTATCGCTTTTCATCATTCGGGACCCATGGCTATTTTTAGATTTCTTATCGATATAGGTTCATAGAAATTCCCGAAGATGAACCAAGAAAGTAACGCATTTTTTTTTTTTCCCCGAAAAGTCTGTTATCTTTCAACGTGAGAGCCTAATAAATTAAACGTCATTTTTTCTTGAAAAATAGCCATCGGGAAAAACGTGTTGTGTCCGATTGTTATAAAGGTGGATTACACGTCATGGGCGAGTCATTACATCGTAAGACTGCAGGTAAAACCATGAGCAAGCTCTGATTACTGTAAGTAACTCACGTTTTACTATACCCAGTTAGCACAAAATATTTTCGCGAACAATGTGTTTGCTGTTATGACCAAGAAAGTCGATTTATTACTTTCTCGTATATACGTAGTATAGAGAAAGTATTGTAATCGTGCAAAAAAAAAAAATCGAGATTTTTACAAATCTCGACGTTTTACACCTCACTGATACGGAAAAACATAATTTTGCAATCTTGTCCGTATGTCTGTGTGTGTGTGTGTCTGTGTGTCTGTCCGTGTGTAAACACGATAACTTGAGTACCGTTAGAGCTAGAATGATGAAATTTCATATTTAAGTATTTTATCAAAATCGTAGATCCGTATCAACTTTTGAGCGATTTCCGATAACCGGAAGTGGTACTTTTCCTACTTTGAATTTTCCAAAAGCCTATAACTTGAGTACTATTTCAGATAGATAAATGAAATTTCACATGTAAGTAAAAGATCTAATTCTCTACCTTCTGTTAAATTTTGAATAATTTCCGTTGACTGGAAGTTGTAATTTACGCTACTTCCGATTTCTCAAAAAACTAATGTAAATTTATTAAGTACTAATACTATTGCGCACTATTATACACACCTTTATTAGGCGTTCGCTTGGTGCGCAATTGTTTTTTACTGAGATTCTATTCTATTTTTAAAAGTTTAAGTATTTAAAATGGATTAAAAATCATAACTATATCCCCAGTTACCATCCACTGTTGTTTTATATAAGAATATTCGAGAAAGTTTAGGGGAGATCACTACCGGTTTATTTTAATTTTTATTTCTCTTAAGGCCTGTAAGTATTACAGTTTTTATAATTGTTTGATTTCATTTTGTACTTGGATAGGGACATAATTCTTTTACTAAAAAATGTCCATGTAAAGTTTTAAATATTAAAAAAAAACTTTTCTAATTTGATAATTATATTTCTATATCGTAAGTACAATTAAAAAACCTTATATTTAAAATAGGTGAAGTAGATTTCACCAGTTTGTTTCCTTTTTTTTGGCGTCGGCATACGTTTAGACCTTATGGCCAGCACCAGTGTTTCTTCCAGACTTTTTTCTCCGGGGGGTGGGGGGGGGGGGCACTTGAAGTTTTCGAGGGGGGTCTACATTTTCCGGGAGGGGGGGGCGGACTCTCTTCACCCCTCTTTAAATAACAGTGGACGGAGTATAAATATTTGGCGCAATATATATATATATATATATATATATATATATATATATATATATATATATATATATATATATATATATATATATATATATATATATATATATATATATATATATATATATATATATATATATATATATATATATATATATATATATATATACACTTGCCGTCCCGGCCAGGCCCTGCTCTGGCCCCTGTAAAAAAACTATCTGTAAAGGACCATAACCTGTGTATTTATTAAGCAGCATATACCCGGCATTGTCCGGGCTAATGAAATATTTTACTTTTCTAATTAAAAATGTCTATATGCAAATATGGACGTTTGACAAAATAAAACATAACATAATAAAACATAACCCTAAACCTAACTCTAATTTTAAACTTAACACTAACCATTTGCAATCAAAACCAAAAACCAAACTAAAAAACAAACGCAAAAGTAACGCAAACGCAAACCAAAACACAAAAACAAAAACAACCGCAAACGTAAATGCAAAAGCAATTATAAGCATATACGCAAACGCAAACGCAAACACAAACGCGAACGTAGCACAAAGGCAAACGCAAACAAAAACATGAACGCAAGCATAAGTGCAAAGAAAAACCCAAATACAAATAAACACACAAAGACATGCGCAAACTGACACGCAATCAATAACGTAGAAAATAATGCAAAACTAAACGCGAACATATACACAAACCTAAATGCAAACATAAAGCATAGTGCTCACAGTATATCCTGAGGCGTCCTGATTGTACCCTACTGGGGTACAGGCGGAACCACCTTTTACAACTTAGTAAACGACAATAATCCCCCAACTTATCCGTAATCTATTTCACTCAATAAAACGAATGTAGATGCTAACGGGGTCCCGGAGCGCCAAACAGCACCCTGTCACGGCGCCGGAGGACGATTTCGATTTAGTGGACGAGTATAGTAACGCTTTTTATCCACAGCTTATCGCATTCTTTAAAAGGAAAGTATGCACCATAGGATTTAAAACGAAGGTAATTGCAATAGCGCTCACGGGAAAGCCCGGGGCGCAAAATAGCTACCTGTCGGGGCGCCGGAGGACGCCTGGATTTGATTTAGTTAAGGACGATAGTAATCCTTTGTATCCACAGTCTATCGCACTGTTTAAAATGCATGTTTACACCACAACGTTCACAGGATAGACTAGGGCGCCGAATCGCACCGTGCCGGGGTGCCGGCGGAAGCCTGATTCAATTTAGTGAACGACTATAAAACCCCAGCTTGTCCGCAAACGGAAAGATAGAAGTAAACATCGAGGACATTTAGGAGCGGCTTCTAAACTGTTATTGATTAAAAATAATAATAAGTGAACTGGAAGAATGTCTGTTGACAGTTCTATCCAGGAACTTATGGAAGCTGGTGATCCGCTTCTAATTTGTACATTTTCTTTAATGAAATATATACACGCGTAGATGAAAAAGTGGGTCATCTTTGGGCATTTATAATGCAGAGTCGAGGTTTATTTTTATTTTTTGGGTATGTCATTTACTCTTTCGAACTTGCGGTAGGGGAGTTGAAGTAGAGTTTATCTGTTTCTGCGAACATGAAGGAAGGTTAGTATTATGGAATTTCGCTTTCACTGTCCCTAACGTGAGACAGTTGCTCATCAAAACAGGTTTGTGTCTGTGATCCTAATTATAGATAGCCTGTCGAGCACTCTACCACTAAGCCACGCCGTCCTCTTCGAAAATTTAAGTTAGAATAAAAGTCGTTTATGTAGCATTTTACATCACAGGACATAAAAATGGCTACAGCAACACAAGAGGAAATAGTCATCATTGGTGCTGGGTTCAAAGGTCCAGGGGCAGAGAATCTGGAGGAGTTTTGGGCGCTTCTGGAAAAGGGAGAGAATAAACTTGTAGACATCCCTAAAGAGAGGTGGAACCATGACTCTTTCTACGACCCTGAGCGGATGAGACTAGGAAAAACTTACGCAACGAAGGCAGGCCTCGTGGAAAGGTGAGTAATCAAACGCCACGTCATTACACGTCATTACACGTCATTACACGTCATTACACGTCATTACGCAACTTGACCTAACGCGCGTTGTGAGCCTGGCTAGATTCCTCGTGCCACGTCACTTCGGGTTTTTTGGAAAGATGGAGGGGAGATAATTAGCTGACTTAGTAGGCTGCTCACGCGTGCAGTTATTTATAGATTTTGATTTAACAATCCAAAAAACTATGTACAGGGTCACTGTGAATTGTTGTTGGATATCCTTTCGTGGTAATTACAAAACAGAACTAAAATTTTAAAAAGTGCAATGTTAAATGTTTATGGCTTTTTTTAGCCATCGCGCTCAGGTTAAATACAAACACACGCACACTCTCATAAATAGTATGCACACATACAAACACAATATCACACATACTTTTAACAGCTTTTACAACTTTCGAATATTAGTAAATTAGTCTTTATATTATTCGCTCCATAGAGAAGATAGAGCAGGGTCCGACGTATTTGTGTACTTGTCATACAAAGTGTATATTCAATCCTATGCCCAGCGGCCATTACATTCTACACACCTGAGATTGTTGGACCTAGGAACGTCCTATTAATCGTAACCGGTATTCGAACTGGAGACTTCCTGCTTATCGGTGGTGCGCACTACCCTCCCACCATTTCGTCCCACACACTGTGTTTGTATTTTGTTGACTCTATTGCCTCTGTCTACAGCCCTTATGAGTTTGACAACTTTTTATTGACTTTGTTAACTCTCTCTAAAGGCCTTATGAGTTTGACAACACTGTGTTTATATTTCTATTGACTTTGTTAACTCTCTCAATAGACCTTATGACTCGAAAATACTGTGTTTATATTTCTATTGACTTTGTTAACTCTCTCAATAGACCTTATGAGTTTGACAACACTTTGTTTATATTTTTATTGACTTTGTTAACCCTCTCTGAAGACCTTATGAGTTTGACAACACTTTGTTTATATTTCTATTGACTTTGTTAACTCTCTCAATAGACCTTATGAGTTTGACAACACTTTGTTCAACATCAATGAAGTGGAGGCCGACCAAACAGATCCACAACAACGCTGGGCCTTGGAATGTTCGTACAGGGCGATAGAGCACGCTGGTCTCACGCGAGCGATGCTTCAAGGTTCGAACACAGGCGTGTATATAGGTGAGTGGTTCTTACTTTATATAGGTGAGTCGGTCTTACTTTATATGGTTGAGTGGTTCTAACTTTATAGAGGTGAGTGGTTCTAACTTTATAGAGGTGAGTGGCTCTTACTGTATGGTTGAGTGGTTCTAACTTTATAGAGGTGAGTAGTTCTTACTTTATATGGTTGAGTGGCTCTAACTTTATAGAGGTGAGTGGCTCTTACTGTATATGGTTGAGTGGTTCTAACTTTATAGAGGTGAGTAGTTCTTACTTTATATGGTTGAGTGGTTCTAACTTTATAGAGGTGAGTAGTTCTTACTTTATATGGTTGAGTGGCTCTAACTTTATAGAGGTGAGTAGTTCTTACTTTATATGGTTGAGTGGTTCTAACTTTATAGAGGTGAGTAGTTCTTACTTTATATGGTTGAGTGGCTCTAACTTTATAGAGGTGAGTAGTTCTTACTTTATATGGTTGAGTGGTTCTAACTTTATAGAGGTGAGTGGCTCTTAATTTATATAGGTGAGTGGCTCTTACTATGTATAGGTGTGTGGCTGTTACTTTATATAGGTGAGTGACTTACTTTATATAGGTGAGTCGGTCTTACTTTATATAGGTAAGTGGTTCTTACTTTATATAGGTGAGTGGATTTTTACGATGTTTGGCCTCATTTCATGTCTTGCTAAAACATATCCAAAATCCCTAATTAACCTTCTAATCCGCCCAACTGCTCTACGACTCGAGGTGTGACGTAATACCGGAAGTAATTTATTCCAGGCGCCATGAACTGTGACTACCGGAGCCAGTTCCCGGCCAGATCGTCCACGGTCGACAACTACACCATCACGGGCGTGTCCAACGCCATCATCAGCGCCCGTGTGTCCTACTGCTTCGATCTGAGAGGTCCTGCCATGGTGCTTGATACAGGATGTTCCTCGGCCCTCACAGCCATACACACCGCATGCCAGGCTTTAAGATCAGGTGAGCTGAGCTTAGATAAGCTCTGGTTTATAGGATTAGTTGAGCTGAGCTTATATAAGCTCTGGTTAATAGGATTAGTTGAGTTGAGCTTATATAAGCTCTGGTTAACAGGATTAGTTGAACTGAGCTTATATAACCTTTGGGTAATAGGATCAGGTGAGCTGAGCTTAGATAAGCTCTGACAAAAGTGTAAGGTGAGCTGACTTTATATAAGCTCTGATCATTAAGGTATGAAATTAAGATCAGATGTGCTGAGCTAAAATAGTAACTCTGATCATTAAAGGTCAAGCGTTAAGATTAGCTCAGCTGATCTTATATAAGCTCTTATCATTCAGATGACCTGAACTTATATATGCCTCTGGTAATTAAGGTCAGTTACTGTCCAACGATACTACTACTCCATCAACTAACAGATTACCTACAGTATACTTAAATATTTCAGACCTCGAAATTCTATTGCAATGTGTATAGATCAAAGCTATAAATACAAATTTAAACCCGTGTTTCATATTCTCGTGTCACTGTTTTCAAACTCTTTTAATTCTTTATTAACTGTAAAATGTGTTTACCTAATGTTTTGGACCGTTGATTCACGGTCCCCTAATTCACGGCTGACTGCGCATGTTTATTTTACATCTGTTTGTCTCGTGATAGGTGACTGTGATCTAGCACTAGCTGGTGGCACCAACTTTATCTTCTCACCTGACATTTTCACCCACCTGAGCAAGGCCGGCATGCTCTCACCCACGGGACAGTGCCACGCCTTTTCTGACAAAGCAGACGGCTACGCCCGGGGAGAGGGGTGCGGCATAGTCGTTCTCAAAAGACTTTCAGACGTAAGAAATTTGTTGTTTAACATACATAATCGTAAAACGTCCCAGAGTCGACCCAGCTATCATGGGCACCTAACTTACGTTAGGGAAACAAAGACGGCTGAAAAGAGTGCTAACTATAGTATCCCCTCGTATGCAGAGGTCATTGAAACAGGTGAACTCTACTTCATCTGCAAAATGTGTATTTGGTACAAACGGGAAAAGATGATGAGTTACATGATCTATAAAAAATGTGTCGGTAAACTGTGATATATATATACATATATATATATATATATATATATATATATATATATATATATATATATATATATATATATATATATATATATATATATATATATTGCACGTTGATCGAGTATTTGTACTGTGACAGGCCGTAAAAGATAAAGATCAGATACTAGCAACCATAGCAACAGGCACTAACCAAGATGGCCGCACGGTGACCCCAATCTCCGCCCCATCTAAAGAGCAGCAGAAAAGATTGCTAGAGAAAATACACGGACATTCAAACCCAGAAGAACTGGACAAGCTCGACTACATAGAAGCCCATGGTGAGTTTTGTGTTTTACTGTGCTGAATAAATATTTGTAGCAGTAACGTTCATAGCAATGTCTGACTTTGCTGTGTTTTGGGTATCATTTTGTGAGTTCTTAGCTTAAGTCTAAGCGTAAAATATTTTTGTAGTAACAGATGACAGGTCGAATACAACCAACAAATATACACATACAGAAATATACAATCTCTCAGAAAGGCCGTTAACATTCTTTAAACTGAACTACTATTCTAGTTAAGTGAACTCTACTTCACTTGCCCCATAGATCGTCAGGTAGTGAACTCTACTTCACTTGCCCCATAGACCGTCAGGTTTGAAAGGGAAACTTTACTTACTTTACTATTCTAGTTAAGTGGTCAATCAGTTGTTAACTGAAACGTTTTTAGATTTGAAATCAAAATTTTATAAACACATCCAGGCTTTTTGTTTAAGACAGTGTGTATGGCTCTATGTAAATGTACATGTTAACATTTTATATACATGTTAACATCTGATGTACATGCTAACGATTCATATACATGTTAACATTTGATATATATTTTAACATTTGACATACATGTTAACTTTTGATATACAAATTAACATTTTATATACAAGTTATAAATCTTAATATTCGATATACAAGTTAACATTTGATATACAATTTAACATTTGATATGCATGTTAACATTTGATATACATGTTAACATTTGATAAGCTTTCAATTTTTTGTAAAATTATACTTCAACCATCCACCCCTCACCTAGCCACCTACAAGTGAGGTCCCACACAATGCCCGACCGTTTGATAGTTTTGTTACAAGTGATGTTCTTTCACTTAGTTCGACCTCTTTTGCCTTTACATACATTTTTTTCTGATACCCAAATCATTTAGGTACAGAAACGGTCTTTACATACATTTTTTTCTGAAACCCAAATAATTTAGGTACAAGAACGGTCTTTACGTACATTTTTTCTGATACCCTAATCATCTAGGTACAGGAACGGTCTTTACATACATTTTTTTCTGATACCCAAATAATTTAGGTACAAGAACGGTCTTTACATACATTTTTTTCTGAAACCCAAATAATTTAGGTACAGGAACGGTCTTTACATACATTTTTTTCTGATACCCAAATCATTTAGGTACAGGAACGGTCTTTACATACATTTTTTTTTATACCCAAATCATCTAGGTACAGGAACGGTCTTTACATACATTTTTGTCTTAAACTCAAATCATTTAGGTACTGGAACGGTCTTCACATACATTTTTTTCTGATACCCAAATCATTTAGGTACAGGAACGGTCTTTACATACATTTTTGTCTTAAACTCAAATCATTTAGGTACTGGAACGGTCTTTACATACATTTTTTTCTGATATCCAAATCATCTAGGTACAGGAACGGTTGCAGGCGACCTGGTCGAGACGACGGCTTTGGGAGAATTTTTTCTGAGCAGAAACTCGACCAACATGAAGTACATCGGGTCCGTCAAATCAAACATCGGTCACTTGGAGTCTGCTGCAGGCATAGCTGGACTCATCAAAGTCCTGTTGATGTTCCGGCACAATAAGATTGTCCCATCGCTGTTCACAGACTCTCTTAACAAAAATTTAAAGTTTGAAAAGTTTAATTTTGTGGTCCCAGATAAGGTAGTTCAATGGAACAAGAAAGACAAGATTGCTTGTATTAATTGCTTTGGTTTTGGTGGATCAAACTGTCATGCTATTGTTAAGACTTTTACAGAACAATGTCGTGGAGAGGAAAAACAGAACCTTGAAAATAATGAACACTGTGTCGTCTGTTTTTCGGGTAAGAATGAAAAATCTCTAAAAGGAAGCATGACAGACTTTATAAAGTACGACAACGTTGAGAAGATGAGTCTACAAAATGTGGCATACACTTCATCAGTAAGACGCCAGCACTACAGTAATCGGCGAGCTTTTGTTGCAAACAGCATGCAAGATCTCATCAGTCAAATACAACGACAGATCAAAAGCGAGCCATTAATTTTAAAAAGAAGATCTGTTGTTTTTGTATTTGGTGGGATGGGAACCAACTGGAAAGGAATGTGCCAGGAACTGATTAAAAAGTTCGAAATTTTCCGTTTAACTATTCAAGAAATTGATATTTTTCTGGCGAAGTATCAAAACATTTCTTTGTTGAAATTCTTCGAAGACGGGGCTAGCTTCGATAATGATTTGATTTCCCCTTTGGCTATTTTTGCTTGCCAGATTGGCCTGGCTAGATTATGGAAAAGTTTGAAGGTTGAGCCGAACTACATTGTTGGTCAGTCTGTTGGTGAAGTGGCCGCCGCTTACTTCGCTGGTCATTTGACTCTGGAAGATGCCGTCAAAGTGGTGTATCATAGGTCGTCTGTTCTATGTAAGGCAACAGGGGGCAAAATGGTGGTTGTTCGGAACATGGAACTTCATCTTGTTGAAGAAATACTTGTGAAATACCAAGGGAGAGCAAACATCTCAGTGGTGTACAGTCCCGTGTCGTGTGCCATCAGCGCTGATGCTGATGTGATGGACTGCATCAAACAAGACATAGCACACGCAGCTGAAGGTATACAAACTAATGTAAAACTGACTGATTTAAAGGTTCCGGCAGCCTACCATAGTCACCATATGGAAGAAGGGAAAGCCCAGTTGAAAGACCTTCTCACAGACCTTCAATGCAACCCAGCTAGTCAGACTTCTTGCATGATATCTACTGTCACTGGGGAACACGTTACTGGACCTCTAGGTGCCCAGTATTGGGCAAACAACTTAAGAGACAAAGTACAATTCAATGGCGCTCTCAGCAAAACATACAAGAAAGATCATACAAATATTTACATTGACATTAGCCCCAAACCAGTTTTGCAAGCGCATGCGCAAGACATATTTCCAGGAGAAAACCCTGTTGTAATTTCCTCCATGACAGGGTCCTCAGAATGCAAAACATTTTTAGAAGGCGTGGCTGTGGCCTTTTCATACGGTGTAGACATCAATTGGCCTCTAGTTGTACCAGCCCGAACTTCCTTGACACCGGTACCACGATACCATTTCCAGAAAAGGCATGGCATCACAAAAAGCGAGGCTGCTCACGTGATACTCTCTGGTGTTGATCCGTTCCAGATTCGGCATCCATTTTTGTACAAGATCAACAGCAGCAACTATATCGCTGTCGTGTCGCCACTTGTTTTTAACTCAGTGTACGACCACACTGTGTCTGATAGTCCCATCCTACCGGGCGCTTTTTACACAGAAATTGGTCTCGCGCTGACCAGGTTAGACACAGAAATGACAGCACCATCCTACACTATTGCAGTTCAGTTTGAGAAGCCTTTCAATCTGCCTAGAGATGGGGTAGTAGTGCTGGATATTTCTATGAAAAAGGACACGCGCTCTGGTCCAAGTCAAGTCGGAAGTTACAGTGTGAGTGTTGAAAACTCTGGTATAAAATACGCGAGCATTTCAGTACAGCCTTCAAAAGTTAAACCCAAAACAGACAAGATAAACATAAGCTTTCTTAAATCATTGTGCTCTATAAAAGTAAGCAAAGATGAAATTTACCAAATGCTAAAGCATTTTGGATTTAAATATGGACCGTGCTATGCCATTTTGAATAAAGCCTTGATGAACAATGATGCATGCTTTACCAAAATGACAATTCCTAAGTCAATAGTTGAAGAGATGTCTGGTACAGTTCTTCACCCCTCTATTATTGATGCCATGATTCAAACATCTGTCATATTGATGGACAGATCAGCAGAATCTAACTCTCTTCTGCCAAGAGCAATTGGTGCAATGACTGTGTACATGCCTGCAGAGATGGAGATGTACATCCACACCAAAAAGAAAGGCACACACGGAAGACTAACGCACTATGATGTTACCTTAATAACCATGGAAGGCGAAATAGTGGCACGCATGAATGACCTTGCTCACACGTCGCTCATCACGTCTGCAGAAGAAGTGGACAACATTTACACGGACGTGTGGAAAGAGATGAAGACTGACTATCCAAATTTGGACAAACAAGACCCTCAGAGCATGCCTTTGTTTATCACAGATTGGATTCCCGATAACACAGCTTCTTATCAACAAAATCGATGTATACTTTTTGATACGCTGAAAGACTTGGAAGAAACAACCAGCCAAATCACACAAACAGCAGTCGATGCTTGTAATTCTATGATCCTAATTTTAACAAACACAACCGTAGATGATTCTGAGACAGAAGAATGTATTCTAAACAAGACGCTGAACACTTGTATGGTTCTTCGCCATTTGTACTTACTGTCTTCTCAACAGAAATCTAACAAACCTATTTTTATAATAACCAAAGGAGCGCATCCAAACCCAGTGTCCTGTGTAACGCCAGTCCGAGTTAACCCAGTCATGACAGCTCTCTGGGGAATGTTCAGGTGCTGCCTCTGGGAACCTTTCGCCCAAAAAGCCATCGCTCTGGACCTTCACCTTCCTGATGATTCCATCTCTTTTGATTTTCTCGGCGCAGTCTCCAAATTTTTTATTAAAAATGAAACTCTGCTGAGCTACCCCGAATGGATAGTTACAGAGGACAAGCTATACTTCAATCATGTAGTTCCAGTAGATGCTACCACTCGGGTAGCGAAATACAGAATTAACAAGGTGGATAAAGACACAGATGTAGCCTTCTTCAGGCAAGAAGCAAGATCTGTTGAAGACGTATTTTGTGTACTTCAAAAACAAGAACTCCATCAAACAGGTGACAGCTCCCATGTTTTATTTAAACCTACAGAAGCTGTTTTGATAAATGATAACATGACTGACATCAACGAATCTTTCCATTCTACGAAAAATAAACCTGGATTGGAATGTGATGGAAACATCGTGCGCTGTTTTGAAAGTGTTGGAAAAATAATTCAAGACAAAAACACTGGTATAAAAGCTGTTTCATGTTACCCTATGCACGTAGCATCAACAATGAACATACCCCAGGAATGTGTCATTGAGGCTAATCTGCTGCCCAATTACAAGCCTGGTCACCTTGTTCAGATGATGCTACTTTGGAGTTTAAGCCACAAAATAAAAGAAGATGAAATAACTATACTTACAGATGAGCCGACAGAGCCATTTGCAAAAGCCCTTGAGCTTCTTCTAAAAAGTAGACGAAACTGCATTGTGAATATAGCTAGACTAGAAAGCGTGCAGAACTCTAGTCCACTACAGGGGGCGCTGGTTGCCTTAACACTGCTCACATCTGACATGGTTTCCATAATGAATCTTCAAAACCTTGCTCGGGTTGTTAGTTTTTCAACCCTGATGGACAGCTCAAGCAGAACCTGTGTTTCTTTCTTGGCACCAGACGCTGACGTAGACATTGTTGATGTGGCTCTACTCTTCACTCCTAGAAAAATGATGAAAATTGTGCCTGAGATTAAAGCATTCGCCACAGAAAATCAGCAAGTTATTTCAGATGTGTTAAAAATTTTGAATCCTACTGCCAATGGCAACTCAACTAAAGTTAGACGTTGTCTCCAAGAATTTCTGAACGTTCAGGTTCTGAAGCTGGAGCCTGTGCAAGTGAGAGCTTATGAGAGTGATCTCTTCCGTAAAGACGGGGTGTACCTGGTTGTGGGAGGTTTGACAGGGCTGGGTCAAGCAACCGTGAAATACCTGGCTGAACACGGCGCAGGTAACATTGCAATTTTTAACAGACGAGCAGCAGCTGATGCAGACAGAGAATGTTTTACAGAGCTATGCGGACAATATGGTTGTCAAATCAAGGCATTTCAAGTAGATGTGGCAAGTATGGAATCTGTTAACTGTGGATTTGAGTCTATTCGTGATGAATTTCAAGACATTCCTGTAAGAGGCATCTTTTGCGGAGCCGCAGTGCTGAAAGATAAATCTCTGCTGGAAATGGACACAGAGTCCTTCAGAGAAGCTCTTCTCCCGAAAGTTTCCGGGGCGTGGAATCTTCATGTGAAAACTCTGGAAATGCCACTCGATTACTTCGTCTTGTTTTCATCCGTAGCCTCAATTTTAGGAAATACGGGTCAAACCAACTACGGCACCGGAAATGCTTTTGTTGATGGTTTGGCTCACTACCGCCGGCAACATAATTTACCCGGCCAAAGCATTAACTTTGGTGCTTTAGATTTAGGACTCTTGAGAGACAACGCATCCGCGAGAAAATCTCTAGAATCTATGGGATTTGTTATCATGTCGGAAGACGAGGCTTTGTCCACACTAACTTCTATCTTGCTGCAAAACTGCGAACAGATCATCCCTTGTCGCTTCAACAAGGAAACATTGCTCAAACGAAAACCGGGGGATATTCCAAAACGTCTGCAGTCAATAGTTCAAGGATCGGCAACGGACGAGGTTCGAATCCAGGACGATCTGTTTTTAAAGCTACACGGAACAAGCGACATGACTCCGGAAGAAAAACAAACAACCTACACGAGTTATCTCATCCAGCTGGCCACACACTTACTCGGGGCAGCTGAAGGGGCCATTCAGCCCAGTTCCAACCTGTATGACTTCGGTCTGGACTCCATCGTATCGATGACGCTGATCAATCGAATCTTTCAAGATGCGGGGTGTAAGCTGCATCCTGTGGTGTTTTTCACTGGAGGGGCCGTGGTGGAAAACATCGCAAGACAAATGGCGCAGTCACAACCCAGTCATTAAGTGTAGCTTATACCTTTTTTTTTTGCTATTTTTTGCATCATAATTATGTATACCCAAAAATTGACAGTTTTCACGAACTTTTCACTTGAAAAATCAAATAAATAAAAAAAAAGATTTGTTACTTTCACTATTCATGTTCAGCAATCTTACATATCACGAGATTTTAAAAAATGTGTTAGAGATCAGGTTATTCTTTAAAAAACAGTAGGTATGATTATTTCATCTCTATTTAGGAATGTTTTTGCTATATATAATTCTTATACGATTAATATATTTTAGTATGTCTATTTTGTAAACTATTTACTTTTTATGCAGCAAGAATGTTTTTAAATTAACGTTGTTGTTGGATTTATCTGTAAATGTATTAAATTCATGAAGTTATAGAAAAAAAATTAATAAATTAATTTCTCTACTACTTAATCACCCATTTGATTTTCTGAAAAAACTTGGTTAACTAATTGAATTTCTCTATAAATGTGTTAACTTTTTAAATTCCTCAGTAATTTTAATATCGATTTGAGTTTCTTCAAAAATGGTCTAAATGAATATCTCTATAAATCCATATTAATTTCTCTGTAAATGTATTTACTGGTTGAATTTCCCTGTACGTGTAACAACTACTTGAATTACTCTATACATGTATTAACTGGTTGAATTTGTCTATAATACTTTTGTTCATGTGCATTTCTTCAAAAATAGTTTAAGTAATGAATTTTCACATATCAGAATGTATCAAAATCCCGAAACAATAAACAATATTTTATTGTCTAAACATAAATTAGAGTCAATTATAGAACATATAATTGAAGACTTGAATATTTAAGTTTCAATTTTTTTAAACGTTGTTCTGTGTACTTAATAGATTTTTAAATAATTGCATTTTAATTGCTTTTATAAGTAATTTTTTTTATTACGTAGGATGATTTTTTTTTTCTTCTTCACATTTTCACTTGATTCATTTATTTACAAAATATAGCACTCATCCAACACAAGCATGATGCAGCACAATAAATTTATTTATTATTTTAGAGCCTGCAGCATTTTTTTTATGATTCTGTGTTTTCTATGCAAGATTTGTTGTTTAGAAGTGTCTTAATGTTAGTGAGTTGTAAACGTCTATGTAATCAAATGATAAATTTTTACTTCACTTTTCCGTTAATAATGTTTTCTTCGCTGTTTTAAAACAATCTGAAGATTACATTTTTTTGGGTGCTCTAAACATAATTATCACCACAGCCTATCAAAACATTGACGTATTGAAGTAAATCTAAAACTGTGTTAACCTTTGCGTGTGAGAAAAAAAAACTATATCAAAAGATTTATTTTTCTTTTTGATCAAGTTAAAATTTGAAAGCAACATATTTTTTTACTGTTTTTCTGGCATTAAACTGAATAAAGTTATCACATTGATGTTGTTTGATAGTCTTTTGTGTTCCAAGGGTTATGATAACAAACTGATCAACTTTAAAGTTACCATAATGGAGGTCTAGTTCTATCAGAGACCTAAGTTGCAGTTACCATAATGTAAGGCTGATTGTACAGGAAACCTACTATTATGGTCTAATCTTATTTCAAGCCCTACAATTAGACCGCAATTGAGGTTTAATTGTAGCAGAAACCCCCATGAAATTTCCATAATTGAGATATAATTGGTCTAGAGACCTACCATGAAGGTACCATAATGGAGGTTTAATTTTATCAGAAAACTAACTTTCAGTTTAATAGAGGTCTAATTGTATTTCAAACCTAACTTAAAGCTACAAAATGAAAGTCTTAATTGTACTTTATACTTGCAAAAAAAAAATAATGTTACTGTAATTTCTTGAATTATCAGAATTTGATAATAACTTAAAAGTAAATAAAACTGTGGTTGAGTAAATAGCGTTAAGTAAACTCAAAATACAAACCCAACATTGAGCAAATACTATCTACACAAAAACTACAAACAAAAATTTAATTTGATCACCACATATACATTATATATTATTGCTTCGAAAGCAAAATTAAACTTAGCTCATTAAGTGCACAAGATTGTAAAATACAAATTTAAAAAAAAAAATAGACGAAAGCTCAAAATTTAAATAATTTGTAGTTGAATAGCCAAACAATAAGTTGAATTTGATGCACTCAATTATCAGTATCCACACACCGCTCCAATCCTACTGTACATACACTGTCACACACACACAGACACCCATACACACACACTGCCACACACACACAGTCAGTATAATATCGCTCCTCTCATACCCTACATACACTGTCACACACATACACACACACCCATACACGCACACTGCCACACACACACACAGCCAGTATAATATCGCTCCTCTCCTATTCTACATACACTGTCACACACACACACACACACACATACACACACACTGCCACACACACACACCCATACACACACACTGCCACACACACAGCCAGTATAATATCGCTCCTCTCCTACTCTACATACACTGTCACACACACACACATACACACACACTGTCACACAAACACACACATACACACACACTGTCTCACACACACACACACATACACACACTGCCACACACACACACATACACACACTGCCACACACACCCATACACACACATTGCCACACACACACACAGCCAGTATAATATCGCTCATCTCCTACTCTACATGCACTGTCTCTGACAAAAACACATATACACATACACAAACTGCATCACAAACATTCTCAAAACGAGCCCCACTTTAACACTTTAAGACAACTTTCATCTTGTATGAAACAGGTACAAACCTCCCCCTCCTCCCTACATACACAATGCCACACACACACGCACACACATCACGCACACTGCATCACAAAAACACTCAAAACGAGCCCCACATTAAGACAACTTTCGTCTTGTATTAAACAGATACAAACCTCCTTCCCCCCCCCCCCCCCTTACACACTGCGACACACACACTGCTACACACACACTGCAACACACATGACGCACACTGCATCACAAAAACTCTCAAAACGAGCCCAACATTAAGACAATTTTCATCTTGTATGAAACAGGTACAAAAAGTAAACACAGATTGCTGATTATAAATTATCCAGACTACGTACAAAATTCGTCAGTAAATTCTGACTTCAACAGCTACTATTGTTAAAAATCAGTTCACCCAATGTTGAAACATAATGTTTTGGTTCTTATTTAAACCGACAGTTTTTTTTTCTGAATTTATCAGGGAATACTTGCATCTAGTGCTTAAAATTTTAAAACCAAACAGGGCAAATAAACACAATCGACTGTCTTCCATCATTATAAATTTAGCAAACACATTTGGAAAACAGATGGTTTTATTTCTAGTCTCGACGTTTAACCCTAACCGTTAATGTAGTCTGGTAAAGAGTACGTCGTTCATCTCAACTAAGGTCGTGTCGTCAGACAAACCCACCGTTCATTTTAACTAAAGATTATATCGTCAGACAAACCCACCGTCCATTTTAAATAAAGATAATATCGTTAGACAAACCCACCGTTCATTTTAACTAAAGATTATATCGACACACAAACCCACCGTTCATTTTAACTAAAGATAATATCGTCAGACAAACCCACCGTTCATTTTAACTAAAGATTATATCGTCAGACAAACCCACCGTTTATTTTAACTAAAGATTATATCGTCACACAAACCCACCGTTCATTTTAACTAAAGATTATATCGTCAGTCAACCCTAATTTGTAAAGGGTCATCTATATAATTAGAAATGCAATGTGGGGGGCTTAAAGTAGGCAATCGAATAACAATTATAAGTTTCCAAAGCACACATAAAGTAGAATACGGGTAAATTTAATGCGGAAAATTTCATAAGAGGTTAAATACACCATCTCTCTCAAATTTAGAGGCTCTTTGTAATACAACAATGTCTCCAATTATAAATTTACCCTGTAATACAAAACCTCTTCCGAATTTAGGGATAATCAGTAATCAAACACGCCACCCCCCCCCCCCCCAGCCCCCTGGAAATTTGAGGTAATTACTTATACAAAACCTCAGCCTAATGTTATAGGCATTTGTGAATTTGAAGATTTGAGTATTAAAACGCACCCCCCCCCCCCCTTTAAAAAAAAACGGTGATTATTCTTTGTAATACTACACCACCATTTCAAAACACAGCCGTTTAAAACTCAAATTTAAAAATTAAAGTCTATGTGAGATTGACAGAAGCAAAACTAAAATGCTTCTCGATAATTTCTTTTAAAAATTATCTATTAAAATAATTAGATCTTAAGGAGATTTAGTTCAAAGCAAACGTCATTGACGGTTAACTTTAGCAGGTTAATTAATCCAATCACAAGCTATTCAAATAAAAAGTCGCTCAACCGTCGTCCTACCCTACGTCTCCACCACCGCTCAAACCAGCCTTTTAACTACTTCAACATCACCCCGTGCAGAACCCACCCGCTTTTGCTAGGGGGTGATATGACGTCACGACTCGTCACTGACATGCGCACGGTGAGCTCAACAGCGCTGGGAGCGGGGCATGTACTCTGCGGTATCGAAGGGATGAAGGGAAGTAATTATGTCAGGAAGTTCGGGGATATTCACAGATCTGCTTCTGGTGTTTATAAAAGCTGGGATTTTTTTTTCTGTAATTTTTTTTTAAAAAACTAGTTTCATTTAAATCTGGTCTAGTAGTATTTGAAATGAAAATTGTTTTTATTGAGTACTTTCTTAGGTTTTAAACTTATACACATTTGGATTTTTATTATAAGAGTGTGTTGGATAATAACATAAAGAAGAATATATTTTCAAATGTACGAAATTTATTCGGCTTATGTGAAATGCAGGTAAGAGTTTTTATTTACATTATTATCGAGGGTATCTGTTTAATATGTATTTGTAGGTATAGTCATTAGTATGTATAGTTGTATGTACATGTTAGTGTAATGTTATGTAAATATGAGAAAGTATAAGTATTATTGTGCGAGTATGACACTATATATGTGTAAGTGTTAGGGTAGGTATAGGTGTTGATTTGGGTGATGGTATGAGTGTGGGTGTGGGTGTGGGTGTGGATGTGGGTGTAGGTGTAGGTGTAGGTGTAGGTGTAGGTGTAGGTGTAGGTGTAGGTGTAGGTGTAGGTGTAGGTGTAGGTGTAGGTGTAGGTGTAGGTGTAGGTGTAATTGTGGGTGTGGGTGTGGGTGTGGGTGTGGGTGTGGGTGTAGGTGTGGGTGTGGGTGTGGGTGTAGGTGTAGGTGTAGGTGTAGGTGTAGGTGTAGGTGTAGGTGTAGGTGTAGGTGTAGGTGTAGGTGTAGGTGTAGGTGTAGGTGAAGGTGAAGGTGAAGGTGTAGGTGTAGGTGTAGGTGTAGGTGTAGGTGTAGGTGTAGGTGTAGGTGTAGGTGTAGGTGTAGGTGTAGGTGTAGGTGTAGGTGTAGGTGTAGGTGTAGGTGTAGGTGTAGGTGTAGGTGTAGGTGTAGGTGTAGGTGTAGGTGTAGGTGTAGGTGTAGGTGTAGGTGTAGGTGTAGGTGTAGGTGTAGGTGTAGGTGTAGGTGTAAGCAGATTTTGTAGAGGTGGAGATGGGGATGGAATTTGAGAAATTATTAATGTATTTGTATTGATGTTTTTTCCGAGGTTAGGTCTTATGCAACTTACCAATTTTATTTAGAGAAATAAGCTCATTACCTATATCTAAAGTAAATTTTAACCATCGAACAATAGAGTAGATAAACGTCGTTATGTATCTCTTTTAGATCTTAACTCTTCATAAAAATTACGTAATTACAAACTGCTTCAAAAAAGCCCCTTTTGCGGTTTTAATCAATGGATAGGAAAGTTAGTTTTTTATAACGGAAAGTTAGTTTTTTATAACACGTTTACCTAATTAGTTAGAACGCACGCACACATGAAAAGCGGAGATTTAACAGGTAAATAAAACGACAGATGGGATGAACTGAACTAAGGCGGTTGTTGATATTTTTTGTACGATTTAAAGTGATGCTGTGCAGGCGTGTATGCATGTGTGCGCTATGGTATGTGTATGTATATGTTTGTGTATTATGTGTATGTATATGTTCGTGTAGTGTGTTTATGTGTATGATTGTGTATTATGTGTATGTATATGGCTGTGTATTATGTGTATGTATATGTTCGTGTAGTATGTTTATGTGTATGATTGTGTATTATGTGTATGTATATGGCTGTGTATTATGTGTATGTATATGTTCGTGTAGTATGCTTATGTATGTTTATGTGATATGGCAAACTATTTCAACAGAGCAACCATTTGTCTTAACCACCTTATTGATATAAGACATTTTAAATATTCCTATCTGACCACCATATGATTTTTTTAAAAAGTTCAACTGTATGCAGGGAGATATAGTGTAACTTTAGATCCTCAAATTTAACAATGGACTCCGTATCCA